CACACACACACACACACACACACACACACACACACACACCTTCTTTTTTGAGATAGGGTCTTGCTAAGTTGCCCAGGCTAGCCTTAAACTTGTTCTGTATGTCAGGCTAGTCTAAACTTGTGATCCTCCTATGTACTGCTGTTACAGTCCAGGATTTTCACGTCAGGCATGGTTTGGAAAACACTTCTAAAGGCTCAGCTCCTGAGGATAGTCTTCTGTCCTAGGAGGAATCCTCTCCACCCTTCCCCCAGGCAGCATCTCTGTGGCCTGAAGAATAGAGTATGCAGTTGGCAGCCTCTGGCACTGCCAGAAGATCAAAGGTGAGGCAGCTCCTCACCGCACCCCAGCCATGAAGCGTGTGGCCCAGTGTTTCCTATAGGGTCACCAGGAGTCAGGCTAACAACTGCTTGTGGGCAGGGAGAAAGGGAACCTATAAGGAAAAAGGGCCAGCCAAAGAAACACACCCTGAGCAGAGCCAAAGAAATACACTTTGGCCCTGCAACCAGAACCAAAGAAATGCACCCTGACCCTGAAACCAGTGCCAAAGAAGCACACTATGGCCCTGGAATCAGAGCCAGTGAAAGGAATACACCCTGGCCCTAAATTACAGCCAAAAGGCTAAAAAGGACCAGTGAAATAAACACACTTTGGCCCTGAAATCAGAGTCAACTCTGACCCTAAACCTGTGCAGAAAACTAACCAATCTCTGAGCAGGAGATCTAGCCATCCTAAGCTCAGGGATTGAAATCTGACCATTACCTACCCTGGAAATCTCCCTGGAAAAACTCCACCCCCTAAGAATCCCTACATAAACCCTGTGTCTGTTCAGTTTGTGGCAGTCCAGCTTGTGGCTGTCCAGCTGTCCTCTGCCACCCTGGCAGAAGACAGCCACTCTCCTGGATTCTTCCCTCCTAATAAATCTCTTGAATGAGATTTAGGTGAGACCTTTCGTAGGAGCAGAGATGACCCTGGGCAGAGTGGAGCAGGGCTTTTCGCTGGGGGAGAGGGGGAGGAATTGGAGCCAAACTGTAACAGCTTCTCCAGGGAAACCCCCTCCTGCTGGAGCAGAGATAACACACTGGGGAAGTCTTTCCCTGAAGCAGGGCTGTTAGCTGCTATGCTTACTGTGACCTGTGGTATTCCTTGGCTCCTGATTGCCAGAATCCCTTTCCATCCGAGCTGTAACACTCAGTATTCCTTGGCTCCCAAGTGCTATAATCCATCCCTGTCCATCCCATCCAATCATCAAAATGATTACAGAACCAGCAAAGGAAGACCAGCAGTCTTGGGTTCCTGGCTCTCAGCTCTGCCCCAGGCAGGGGTGTGGGGACTGAGGAAGATTGGAAGGTGGTAAGGGTAGGAATTGGGAAATGGGAGGGGCAAGCCATAGGGGAGGTGAGTGACTGTCTTGGGCCTGGAGAAGGCCAATAAAGCCTTCATGTGTCAATAGTTACTTTCCTCAGTGTGCCCATTTCAATGACAATACCAACCCAAACAACATGATCCTGATCACACCTGGTTTGTTTGTTTCTTTTTCTATGCACCAAGGCAAATTTCTGCCTCAGATTTCCAGGTGTCGGGGTCACAGGCCTGTATTCCTATGCCTGACCCAGAAAAGATCTGTTTTTCATAGAACTTGAGAACTTTCCTTCCAACCAGAGTGGCTTCTGGATACTAATGTACATTCATTCTTTCAGCCCGTCTGGAATCTC